GGCCCATGTGCTGTTAGCACAGAGCCTGATTGGGATTCTCTGTTTCCCTCTTTCTCTGACCCTCCCCCACTCGTGCTTCTCTGTCTCTCTCAAAATAAATAAACTTAAAAAAAGTAAAACAAACACAGGAATAGAATATTACAATCACTAAGCAAACACAAGATGATACAAAGGAATTATAAAGAGTTGGATGTAACAATGATTATCAAAGACTCACCCAATAGGCAAATATACAGGCACACCTTGGAGATACTGCGGGTTTGGTTCCAGACCACTGCAATAAAGTGACTATGTCAATAAAGCAAGTCAAATGAATGGATGGATGGAGCTCTATTCTCACATGGTGGGAAGCAGAGATAGCAAGCTCTCTTAAGGGCACTAATCCCATTCAAAGGGCTCCACCTTCATAACCTAATTATTTCCCAAAGTCTTCACCTGCTAATACTAACACATCGGGGGGTTAGGATTTCAACACATGCCTTGGGTGGGTGGGTGGAGAGGGGGACACACTTAGTCCATAACAATATCTAATGCTGTATAAATTATTCACTCCCCAAGTGTCTTAAAAATCAATTATCTCTAACAGTTTCCGCGCATTAGGAATTCAGTAGTGGTTTGGCTGACAGTTTCATCTGGAGGTGTCTCGCTCTCATGAAGCTAGTCATTGAAGGCTTGGCTGGGGCTGGAGGATCCACTTCTATGGCTGACAAGTTGGTGTTACAGGTCGGAGGGAGCCTCAGTTCCTCTCCACAGACCTGCTTGAGTGGCCTTATGGCAGGGCAACTGATTCCCGCCCCGCCCCACCCCGGGGAGGCAGTATAAGCAAGCAAGGTTTTTATGACAAAGTCTCAGAAATTCCACAGGTCACTTTCACCATATTCTATTGGACACACACACAGGCTGGCTCTAATTTAGTGTGGAAGGGACAGTACAAACACAGGAAAGCCAGGAGGTGAGGATCAGTGCAGGCTGGCTACCACAAATGCAGTATTTCGTGTTGGCAAGAATGGGCAGAAATGTGTGCCCTCATGCACTATCACGGACGCACCTCATTTAGAAAATGACTTGATGGTAGACAGGGAAGATTTAAAATGCACGTATCTTTGCATATTTTCTATGTGAAAGAAATATGTGTGATGATTTTTTTACTGCAGTAGTGTTTGCAACAACAACAAAGGGAAAAACCTAAATATCTGTAAATAAGGGAATAAATAAAGGAATACTGTGGGACAGTTAAAAAGAATGTGGTAGATCTGTGACCACCTGTGGACAGCCTTCTTTGAAGACCTATCGTTAAGGAAACAAGCAGAAAGAAAATACACTTCCATTTACATAAAAAGAAAAAAACCCAATACACAAAAGCTGATTTTGTGTGTATGTGCATGCACGAAAACAAAAGTCTCCAGGAAAGCTCTGGAAAAAACAAATGTAAACATTTTGGCAGTTGCTTCTGTCAGCGGTGGGGAGTGGAGGCAGCACTTTTATTTACCGTCTTGTTTGAATTAACAAAAATGGCTTCAGTAATTGAAACATTAAAATCAGTAAATGACAGACTTTGAGTGACTACTCCAAATGCTCTCACAATGAAGAATAGAGGCTTCAGTGATTAGACTTTATTTTGCTCTTCAGAGGCCCTTTCTGGCTTACTTGTAGATTTCTAGTTGCTGCTACAATTGTGTTGACCTCAGAGCAAGTCTTTACAAAACTAAGAGAGCAAGGTCTCAAGTTTTGAGTCTGTATTCACTTGTGTTGTGATGAAAGGGAATGGCCGATAGACAGGCATTAAAATACTGCCTCCCCTTAGCCTCTCAGTTTCAAAATACATCCAATGTCACTATGCCTAACATACAATGCCACTATGACCAAATGAGACACTCAAGTCTTTGGCACTGATTAGACACTAAAAAGGGGACCATTGTTAGTTTAGGTCCGTTCTAAATTTCTTATCAGAAATAAAGCGCTGTTTTGGTCCTTATAAATTTTTTTTTTTTCAACGTTTATTTATTTTTGGGACAGAGAGAGACAGAGCATGAACAGGGGAGGGGCAGAGAGAGAGGAAGACACAGAATCGGAAACAGGCTCCAGGCTCTGAGCCATCAGCCCAGAGCCCGACGCGGGGCTCGAACTCACGGACCGCGAGATCGTGACCTGGCTGAAGTCGGACGCTTAACCGACTGCGCCACCCAGGCGCCCCTGTTTTGGTCCTTATAAAGATGTGGCTGGAATACATGCTAAGTGGAATAAAACCAATCGCGACTTGTGTTGGTTTATTCTTGTTCTTCCCCCAGGAGTATTTAAGGAAAGAATGCCAACTGAGTCAGAGTTATTAGCTTCTAAGAGTGTATTCACTTGGACTATAAAATCAAAATGCAATTTATTGCTACAGAGGAAAAAATCTTTAAAAATTATTACACAAACACTGAAGCATTCATATCTAGTACAATGTATCATCAAATTACAATAAATTTGTTCTCCAGGAAAGCTGAACTGTAGTTAGAAAAATCATTGGTTCTAGTGTGAATTTTAACAACTCAACTTGAATATTCCCATCGAAGTATCTATTATTTATGAAACACCTACTAAAACAGCAACTCATTGCTTAGGTCATTTAACTTCTCTGGGTTTGAGTTTCCTCAGTGAAAAGTGAGAAGTCTGGGTTAAATTATCACAAACAACCTTTCCTATCCCCCAAGTCCATGATACACTGTTCTCTTAGCCCTCCTTCAACGTGAGGCACTTCTTTTCCTTGTGAACTGATAAAATTGTGTTTTATCAGCTGTGGCTTCTTGTGTATCTTGAGAATGTGAATTCCAGCACAAGTACTTTTTTAACCTTCCCCCCTGCCCCCGCCACCCAAACCCACTGTCATACAAAGCAGACTGTCTGTAAAATTCATCATGATGGGATTTGACCTGACACCAAAGTAGAAACCCATTTTAAACAATGAGCAGTGGCAGGAGAGGGCTCATCGACCGGCCCTGGTTTCAAGAAGGTGGTGTAGTTATGCCCTCAGCGCTCTGGCGTGCACTCTGGGCACAGCACACGGCATACTTCTAAGTGAGCAGACCATAAGCGACTGCTGCATAAACCGTGCTCTACTTCTGTGCCAGTACGGAAGGGGCCTGTCCTACTGCAGCCCTTCTTTGCCTTACCGGTTGACGGTCACTTAGCTTTATACACACATCCCTGAGAATTGTTTCGTCCCAAAACTTCTGTACTATTTCCAAAATGTTCTGTGTAGTATCTGTTAGTATGTATTGGATACCCTTGGGGTTGAGACTCTCACGGGATACATTTTTAAAAAGTGTGCAACAGGGTACCTGGGTGGCATAGTCGGTTAAGGGTACGACTCTTGATTTTGGCTCAGGTCAGGATCTCATGGTCAGATCAAGCCCCGTGTCAGGCTCTGCACTGACAGCATGGAGCCTGCTTGGGATTCTCTCTCTCCCTCACTCTCTGCCCCTCTCCATCTCTCTCTTTCAAAAATAAATATTAAAAAAGGTGCAACTACTTTTCCTCTTCAACATTGCAACTCTATAAAAATCCGACATTTGAACTCTAATCATTTTTCTGCTTAAAGCCACAGTAAAAATTCGAACGTACCTTTTCACAAATGAGATACATTCAGTTAAGTACTGACATTTTTCTTACCATCTTTACAAAGCTGCTTGCCAACCTCTAGGTTTTCTCACGAAGGTTAAGAGGGTTGGTCCACCTGCTCATCACAATACTCATGTGCCAACAGCAGACACCTCAAGACAGGTAAGAGTCAAGTCTCTTCCACTTTATGTATTTGACCATGACAAGAAGCTGACTCAGGAGGGAGAATTCCAGAAAACTTCCTAATATTTAAGACTTACTAATAAATCACTTTAGATAATACAAAAATTTTTTTGAAATGTAACTTTTTAGCAAGAAACTGATCCTCAATAGTTTGACTACAATTAAAAAGCAAATATAAGACCTTTGTTCAGGATCTTAGTGCATTATTAATAATGCATATGAATGTCCTACGAGTTGCAGAGTGAGAATCTCTGAGAACGTACTTTTCTTGTATGAAGAGTTGAGAACTCGGGGTGCTGGGTGGTTCAGTCGGTTACGCGCCCGACTTCGGCTCAGGTCATGATCTTGTGGTAAGTTCGAGCCCTGTATCAGGCTCTGGGCTGACAGCTCAGAGCCTGGAGACTGCTTTGGATTCTGTGTCTCTCTCTCTTTATGCCCCTCCCCTGCTCGCGCCCTGTCTCTCCCTCTCGAAAATAAACAAACATTAGCGGAAAAAAATTAAAAAAAAAAAAAAAGATTGAGAACTCGCTTTGTAGAACATCACAAAGATAGTGAGAGGACAGGAGCCTACCCTTCTCACCACTGCCTCCTTCAGCACTATCACCACACTTGCACACAAATGCTTAATACATTTAATTGGAGAGGTTACATGGAACACACCAAAAACTCTTGAAACAGCATGTACTGCATAATCTAGTTACACAGTTTCAAAGACAAGAACAGATATTTATTCAATGAGGTAGATAGAAATACTCAAAAGTAAACTCCAAAGTAAAGCATATTCTAAAGTGTCTACACATGGATTTATAATGTATCTCTGAATTTATGCAGCCAGTGTTAAATGTTTTCATAACTCTTATCTATCCCAGCAGTTTTCAATGTTTAGCATACTTATTAAAGATTCTTATTTAGTCAAAGTAACCACTAAAATGATACGACAAAATAATTCATTTTATTTCTTAAATGCCTATGTATTTACAATCATAAAAATGTTCATGCATTATAACTTATGAGATACTATACTTTCACATTTATTAAAAATTAAAAATCTTAGGAAACCTAATTATTTATGAAGAAATTAATGGCCAATCAAAAAATGTCAAATTACTATTATTAGCTTAAGATTATATCATAATCATGAATAGCATTTCATCATGAATACCTTCATTTTACTTTTAAAACTATACTTACAGTTTTTAGATTAAAATCTCATATTGAGGCAATAAGACTTTACTTCAAATTACAGTCACATATGGAAGGGAGCTTTTAATTCAAGGTTTCGATGGTCCGTAGTACAAAGATGTATTTTCCTGAGGGGTACATGATGGACAGCTAGCCAAAGAAATAGGCTAGCAGAGGGTAGTAAATAGCCAACTAAGCATGCACTGAACCCACAGACTACTTTAGAACACAGTAAATCTTTGATTATTGTCAGCTTTTCTATAATGTTCAGGTTCTCAAAGGTCACTGAATTTTATAATTATCTCCAAACAATTTTCTTCATGGTCATTTAAGCTTTGTCTAAACAGCTGAGTGTGTTGCCAAGCAACAACACCATCTCCTCTGCTTAATTCTGCTTCCAAAATAACTTCAGTGGCACCAGAAAAATCATGATAGGAGCGAAGAGTTTTATCTGTTGGAGGAAAAAAAAAAAATTAACACTCTGCTTTTGGTAACTTAAAGAATATAAAGAAATAGCTTATATATATTATATGCCTAACACGTAGGTAAAAACCAACCCTTAAAAAATAAATACAATGATTCCTTAGGGAGGGAATGTGTCCTTTGAAACAAAGAAATAATCTTTCTTCATCCGTTTGTGTTTCACAATAAAAAACGTAAGCCTTTCTATCAGAATGAGGTTATACAAGTTTTAATTAAATTTTTTACTGCAGAGTACGAATGGCTCTTGGGTATGGAACCCTCAAATAAGTACGATTATTCTTCAGAGTTAACTATATACATCGTGATTAATTCTCCAAATGCTTACCGCCTGACAGTTCTACTTGTGCTGAGTCAGATCGCAATTTCCACTGTATTGTTCCAGTTTGAAAGGTTTGACTACTCGTTCTAATGGAAACGCTATCTACTTTGAAGCCAACTGACCCACACTCAAACTTCCAGGAAATGTAAGCGTAAGACGATCCTTCTTTTCGGGCTAAATATACCTACAAAGGAGGAGGGAGAGCAAGAACTGTCAGAAATAATGAAGTAGTGTAGAAAACACATGTAGTCAAAGTCTTACTGTCATAGGGTACTATAATACAGATGCTCTGAACACCTAGTTTTTTCCCATTGAGATTTTTACTGGTAACATTTCTCATCTTGTCAGCAATTTTTCCTACAGCATCTTTTGCTCTGGAAGAAAGAAACTTGGATACAGGTGCCCCGTTAAGTACATTGCTAAGGGGTGCATGCTAACCAAATTTTGGTAAATCTTATTTTTTTTTAAATTAGTAAAGCCCAGCTATTTAATATGAACTTTAGGAGAAGTCCTGCTGAAAATGAAGAATCCTTTTAAATGCAATTATTCTATATCTTCTTTTCTTTTTTTAAATTTTTTTTTTTTCAACGTTTATTTATTTTTGGGACAGAGAGAGACAGAGCATGAACGGGGGAGGGGCAGAGAGAGAGGGAGACACAGAATCGGAAACAGGCTCCAGGCTCTGAGCCATCAGCCCAGAGCCCGACGCGGGGCTCGAACTCACGGACCGTGAGATCGTGACCTGGCTGAAGTCGGACGCTTAACCGACTGCGCCACCCAGGCGCCCCTATATCTTCTTTTCTAAGTGTGGATTTTCAGACAAGCTTTTCTAGAGTGAGAAGTCAAGAAAATAACTCAGTCAATGCGAAGTAATGGTTTAAAAGGTAGTATTCATGCTTGCCTCTTCAAATAGTATGCCCCCATTCCTTCATTATCAGTGATCCTTACCACTTTAAATGTATACTACTTAAGGCAGCCAAGGTTACTGGCTGCTTTCAGCTCATTTCCTTGCATAGTTTCATCTACATTCTAGAAGATGTGGACATTAACATTGACATCCACAGCCTTGGTCTTTCACAGTAACTCCATTTCAATCAGGCTCAACCCCCGAGAATCTCTTTTTATTTACTTCTTAAAAAATATATATTTTTTAAAGTTTATCTTTATTTTGAGAGAGAGATAGACAGCAAGCAGGGGGAAGGCCAGAGAGAGAGGGAGAGAGACAGTCCTGAGCCACCCAGGTGCCCCAAGAATCTGACTCTTTAATCACTTATCCCTGATGTTCAAACTCACACAATAATCATGTATTTCTTTGAAATAAGTCTGGAAAAAAACCCTTTCCTCATTTACACTGCACTTACCATGAATAGTCATGACTTTATGCTCATCTTTCTCCAACTGCCTAATTAATGTTTTTATTTATTTTTTATTTTTTTAATGAAATTTATTGTCAAATTGGTTTCCATACAACACCCAGTGCTCATCCCAAAAAGTGCCCTCTTCAATACCCATCACCCACCCTCCCCTGCCTCTCAGCCCCCATCAACCCTCAGTTTGTTCTCAGTTTTTAATAGTCTCTTATGGTTTGGCTCTCTCCCACTCTAACCTTTTTTTTTTTTTT